GTGACAGCAAGATGTTGTTGCGTTATCTGCACAGTTCAGTCCCAATTTTCTTTGTGATTTCACATTCAAATAGACTCAAAACTAATACAAATCATATATTCTCATCATACAACAGCTACACTTCTTAGTACATATTACACACATCAAATAATGACATTATTAGCATCTATCATTCACAATTTCATCAAAGATTCATCATTGGATATAAGTCTTTAAAATCTTCCTATTGGATGTTTTTCCACCTAATCATTGTAATACACACCTCTAGGTATAATATTCGAGATCATGAACTTATCATGCTACCCCAACATTTTCCTTTCTTTAGCCTCTTTTTTCTAATACTATGGTGACTTTCGGGGGTTCTTAGTGCAGGTGAGGCACCTTACTTTGGAATCTCACTTTATAATCTGTTTTGTCCATAGAGTCTTGTTGCTCTTATACAAATAGGTTTCATAAATACTGGGCTTGGGTCCATTTCTATTGTGAACCTCATTCGAATTATGTTCAGTTGGATTCTCTCACCCTTTAAGAGATTATGATGAAGATAGATTTAGATACTACTTACTGGGGTTTTGGATATGAGGAGGGATTTGGTCCTACTAAAGTGAAGTCTTCCCTACAAAGGAAGTGGTCCACTAACACCCGCGATATTGTGGGTGGGATCAATAGTCTGGAAAAGAAATAGATTTTTGTTGAGGGCGGTGTCCTACAATATTTTATAACTTAATTTATAATATCAACAGGGTATTGTGCCCTTGCATGGATACTAATATTTATATGTTTACCTTTTCATTTGATGTTTTCTTCATGTATGGTGTGATTTATATAATTTATTTCGTGGTTTTTCTTCTTTTTATCTGGGTTGTCAATAACTTAGCTTCTAGGCCTCGAACTAGCTTGTGGTTTCTGCCTTTGTCAATCACAAACCTAATTAATTCTGCAAGTGGGGGTTTGTCCCATTGATGCTACTCTATCTCGGTCTTTAAAGCCATTTTCACATGTCTTGCTGATGGGTATTCATCTTGTTCGCAAAATTATATAGTCTCGACCGATGCAAATTGGATTAAAAATTAATTTGGTTTTAACTAGTTCCGACCGAGAAGAGTTGATACTATTCTTCAGTGTCACTAGGAACTGTAACACCCTAAAACACCAATTCTTTATTTATAAAAGATAAACATTTATTTTCTCAAAAAGGTGTTGCACATACTCAACATGCATACTCTTTCAAGCTAAAGACATAAAACATGGAAGCGGAATTCGACATAAATCATACTATAAATTATCTCTTCAAAACAAATTACTTGATTAAACTCAAAACAATCCAAAAATTTAAATTAAAAACATTACGAAATATGACCCGTTCCCAGATGTTACAGATTAGAGCAACTAAAAACTAAAATAACAGAAAGTGATGAATAAAATGAAGAAAAACCTCAATACTATCTTCCAACTCACAACAGCTAATTCTCCTCCTGAGTGTATGTACCACGTCATACAAAACACCACAAAAAAGGGGATAACACACTCAAATATATTAGCGATGCAAAACATAGCAATGGTAGAATATTCAACATAATCATCAATCACACACTTCATTCACAAGAATAAAACAACCATAATGTGTTTATGTATGAAACGCGAACAACATCTCGAATCAATACATGTGGTACCAATTTGGACATAAGAGGTATGTTACTTACTGATCTCGTCCACTCAACAATGGTTCCTCTTCGAACTAGGTCCCAACTAAAACCCCACTCGTTATTAATTCCCACTTTTGAATTAACAACTCATCACTGATCCCCATCTCTTAATCATCAACTTATCTAAAAACTGAATTCCACACATCAATCACCGAAACATATGATGCATGATAATGCAACAAAAACACACAGGTGTAATATCCACCACTGGTTCCTCTACACTTCTCAACATAATTATGATGCACACCATATAATTATAAAAACACTCGAAATATAATTAACTTATTCACAATATTCAAACATATCACTCAACTCGATAAGTTCACCAAAACAATAGCAAAACATCAGCCACACACGAAAACGACCAGCGAAAGTGAACCGTACACAACATTTCTCAATAACCAATCATTTCATATCCACAACCATTGGTTCCACCAAACCAAATCAATCTCCAAATAACTCGACACAATAATTACAATCATATAGTTTCTCATAATACTTGTCATTATGATATTTTATCACAACAATTGTCATGCTTTTCATCAATGCATAACAACCCCCGATATATGATTATTCACTAGTCATCTTCTAAAACATATCACAAGTAAACATACTCTTCATTTTTTCATGTACATATTTAAACTTTAATTAATTATTATAAGGTAGCATTACGCATCAGTTGCCCAACGCTTTGAATTGTGCCTCAAACGGAGTCACAAAACTTAAGTTATGACAAAATCTGTGTTTTGAATCAAATTTTCCTTCCTGATTCGAATCAAGTGTAAACTGGGATTTGAATCAAATCAGACAGGGGCTAACTAGAATGATGTCATTTTAATCTAATTTTAATCAAACTAATATGCATAATTTTTGGACTTGTGATTCGAATCAAACCAGTCTGCAGCGTTTTTCTTCTAAATGTTTCACGAGATATTCACTCATAAACCAAATTTCTTGACCCTATACCTATATTAACTTCAATTTTGAACATTAAAAATCACACCTAATCACATAACGTCTAACACTTCAATTACCACACATATTTGGTATATTAACATCGAGTTATCACAAAATCATCATGAATCTAAGATTATGTTCATAATACCAAAACCCTAAACATGAACAACAACAACCCAATCAATTTATACATATAGAGGCATATGAAGATCAACATCAACATCAGTACACGAAATCATGTTTATCACAACATATGAATTAAATTTCACTCAAATCTTCTCCAAACACATCAAGCCTTAACTTGTGAAAAATAGAATAAAACCTAGAGGAGGGTGAGGATCCCTCTTTACCCTTCATGTAATTGATACCAATACTAGAGTAATTCTCCCCTACCTTAATTTCTAGAAGCAACTCCAAGTTTTGGTTATGGCTTCTCCTTCCTAGATCTCTCTAAGGGTTCCTAGCCACTTGCCTCTTTTTTCATTTTTCTCAAATTTTGCGTATCAGGTAAAAGTTCTAATCCCTCACTTTTTATATAAATGACCTAATTATATTTTTCATAATTCTCAACTTTCCATCCATTTTTGGTCTCTCACTCCTTACCAATATAAATTCACTAAAATTCTAATTCCACTCCGTAATTCACTATTTCACTTATTCAATTATTTTAATTAAATAAAAATCTTTTAAATCCCAATAAACCCCAAAAGTACAAAATAAATCACATAAATTACACATAATTTTATCACTCAATTTAATAAATAAAAGGAATTACAAAAACTCAATTAAATATTTAATTGAAAACTCGGGGTGTTACATCTCTCCCCACTTAAATAACTTTCGCCCTAAAAACTTATCCTGAGGAAACATCTCCGGACGAGACTCTCTCATCTGAATCTCAAGCTCCCATGTTACATTCCCTATGGTATGTCCTCTCCACACAACCTTCACCATAACAATCTCATTACCTCTCAAGTGTTTAACCTCTCGATCCTAAATTCTCAATTTTAATGCCTCAACAGTAAATCATCTTCCACTTGCATATTAACCATTTGAATCACATAAGACAGGTCAGGAACGTAATTCCGAAATTGAGACACATGAAATAAATCATGAAGGTTCGAAAGAGATGGCGGTAAAATAACTATGCAGGCCGCTTCTCCTACTCTCTTCAAAATCTTATAAGGACTAATGAAACGAGGCGTAAGCTTTCAAGACTTCAACGCACGACCAACACAGGTTACTAAAGTGACTCTTAAGAACATATTATCTCTATTTTGGAATTCAAGTGCCTTCACCCTCTTATCATGATAACTCTTATGTATTATATGCGATGCTTTCATCTTTTCCTAAATCATCTTAATCTTCTTAGTGGTCTATTGAACGATAGTTGGTCCAAGCACTGCACTTTCACTAGAATCGTACCAACACAAAGGTGTCATACACCTTCTACCATACAAAACTTAAAAGGTGCCATTGAAATACTAGAATGGGAACTATTGTAATAGGTAAACTCAATCAATGATAAGTAATTGTCCCATTTACCTCCCTGCTCAAAAACACAAGCTCTCAACAAATCTTTTGAAGACTGCATAATTCTCTCAGTCTGATCGTTCGTCTGCTAATGATAAGCAGAACTCAATCTCATCCTAGTTCCCAAGGATTCCTGTAAACTCTCTCAGATCTTCGATGTGAACCTCGGATCCTTATTTGAAACAATGCTCGAAGGAATATCATGCAAACTAACAATCTTCTCAATATAAATCTTAGCCAACTTCTGCAACGGATAACTAATCTTTAATGGTATAAAATAAGTTGACTTAATAAATCTATCTAGGACAACCTAAACTGAATCACTTCCTTTAGAAGTCTTAGGCAAACTCATCACAAAATTCATCAAAATATTGTCCCAGTTCCATTTAGGAATACTCAACGGTTGCATTAATCCAGATGACTTTTAATGCTCAATCTTTGACTTCTAACAAGTCAAACAAGAATACATAAACTCTGCAATCTCCTTCTTTATATTTGGCCACCAAAACATCTTCTTAAGATCTTGATACATTTAGTATCTAATTAAATGGAGAAACGATATTACATTATCCTACCAAATCTTATCTATTGTCATCCTTAATTAATTTTCCCTAAATAGTTTCTCATTTTTTTCCCAAAATTAGTTTAGACATTATTTTCAGTTTCAATTATAAACATTTTCCCATCAATAAAACAATGTGTACAATTCCAAAAAAGGTATAATAGAAATTTCATTCATTACTGCTTGTAAACCACAAGTACAGCCAAAGAAGACATCAAGTTTACAAGATCAACAATGGCTATTTAACAATTAATAATCGATGAGTTTGGAGTTAATATAAATGAATTACTCCAAGCATAATTAAAGGTGACATTAACATTTGTTACAATAGGTTTACCACCATTAACAAGACAAACATCGCCGGAAACATTGAAAATTGAAGGGTCTACAAATTCAACTGTTTCAAAATTAGGGCAATTTATCTTCACATTCCTCTGAACACAATTAGGGCAACTGTTGATGATATCAACACGATATTCTGGAAATTGCTTCAATTGATGTCCGGTTGGACGTTGGTATATGGAGAGATTACTTAATGAACATTTGCTATAGCCTGAGAAATCATGAAAGTGTTGTAAATAAACAATAAATTAATTAATAACAGATTATGAAATTTAGTAAAAGTTTGAATTAACTAATTTGAAGAAATATTACCTTGAGAAATGAGGACAAGAAAGGAGACTAAGGTGAGAATTTTGATGGTTGAATCAACCATTTTTGAGACAAATACAAGTTCTTATTTTGGGATTTGATAAGGCAAAAAATAAAGATGATGTGATGTGTTATTTATACATGTAAACTATATTACAAATGTTATAAAAGTTTATTTTGATTAAAATTATTATAAAAGTTATTTTTTGACAATTGTATATTACCAGAAAAAGTGTATTATAATAATTTCTATTAAGTAAATTAAATGTAAAAGGGAACTTTTATGTATTTGTTTGTATTGGCAAATAATTTTTAGGTACTTTCATCCATTTTAAAAATGTAATTAAAATTTTAATTCTGAAAAAATATATTATATTTTTAAATTTCTGAAAAAATATTTACTTTTTATTTAAAAATAAATTTTTTAATAAAAATATTAAAATCACACTTTTTTAAAAGTTATATATATATATATATATATATATATATATATATATATATA